CTTGCTGACTTTTACCTAATGGTGCACTTGAGACTGTCTCAGTGTGTGCAGCTGTTGGGCTGACTGTGGCTATCAGGGTTGTCTGGCTGTCCTCTGAAAACCTTAAACAAACAGGTTTAGGTGCCAAGTTATTCCATCAGCATGCTGGAACAACGGAAACCCTCTGCCCATCACTCTATCCCGCTACATAAAACCACTCCTGTCTCTACAGGATCAAAAGCCTCATCTGCTAAGACTTTACTTTTTGCAACTCCCTGATTCTAGAGAGCAAAAAATTCACTGACGATTTACACTTGTTACCCTGAAAAAACAGCATGTTTGTCTTTCATACTGCAAGCGCAGGTGCAAGCTTTGTAAAGTAAAATTGTACTGAAGACTTTGTTAAACATTCCAAGTTACCCAATGTCTCTTTAAATAAGGTCCAAGAATTCAAGATGTCATTTGGCACTCATGCACAAAGCAAGCACTGAATACAAAACTGGGAAACCAGGCAGGGTATAAATGCAGACACCAAAATACCTGGGAGTTTATACATTATATATACACACATACTGTAAAGACATAGGCCTCAGCTTGAATGCCCACCTGTTGAGAAAAACACTAACATTCCTTGTATCCCAAATAAGTTTTCAAAAATGTATCTGGGGTGCTATTTAACTTCCCTGTCAGATGTCTTGTAGGATGATAAACCTGGATTGCAGCTTTGTTAAGGCTAGAAACAGACTTCAGGACTGCTTAAAAAAAATAAAGAGAAAAGTTTGCATTCTTCAGGCTTCAGCACAGTTCATCATACCAGGTGAAGGTAAGCCCTGAAAGTATGTGGCCCTAGATTTTCACAGAGGATATTTCAGACAGTACAACGACGACCTTCCTCATGCTAAACAGAAACTGCGGAACAGACCATTTGCTGTCTGGCAGGAGACCATGCAAGCACTCCTTTATATATTGGCCCAGAACCTTAAAAAATCATTTAACTTGACACTTTTCCCCCAGTCCTCTTTCTTCTAAATACTTTTAGACTTACTGTCCTGGTTTTGACTAGGATAGAGTTAATTTTGTTTCTAGTAGCTGGTGTAGTGTTATGGTTTGGATTCAGTATGAGAAGAGTGTTGATAACACACTGATGTTTTCAGTTGTTGCTAAGTAGTGTTTAGACTAAGTCAAGGATTTTTCAGCTTCTCGTGCTCAGCCGGAAAGAAGGCTGGAGGGGCACAAGAAGTTGGGACGGGACACAGCCGGGGCAGCTGACCCAAACTGGCCAAAGGGATATTCCATACCATGTGACATCATGTCTAGTATATAAACTGGGGGGAGTTGACCTGGGGTGTGTGGATTGCTGCTTGGGAACTAACTGGGCATCAGTTGGTGAGTGGTGAGCAATTGCATTGTGCATCACTTGTATATTCCAATTCTTTTATTATTATTATTGCTATTACTATTATTATTTCCTTTCTTTCTGTCCTATTAAACTGTCTTTATCTCAACACATGAGTTTTACTTTTTTTTGATTCTCTCCCCCATCCCACTGGGTGGGGGAAGTGAGCAAGTGGCTGCGTGGTGCTTAGTTGCCAGCTGGGGTTAAACCACAACACTTACGAAGCCCTTCAGAAGAGGACCATCACATTATGTTTCTTCAACCCAGTACAGTGGGTACCCAATGACAGTGGTTATGCCTACTGACGCCACCCATTACCCCATCATCTGTTCAGAGGAACGCAGGGCAGTTGTCAGGGTTCAGTGGTCCTGGTGACATCTGCACAGGAGGACTCCGAAAGACTGTAGAAAACATGAACAAGACATCTGTGTATACAGTGGAGGGCATCAACTCAGAAGCAAAGTTTGCAATACAACGGGTGTGAAAAAGCCCACGTAAGGTGTTCAGAAAAGATTGCATCTACATAAACAGGACTGGAATCAGCTGTATCTACATAAATGAGACTGGAAACAGGTATCCTATAAAGTTGAGAGGGAGAAACAAGCATTTGTCTGAATCTCAGCCAGCCATTAACCAGCAATAGATGGAGCTAGTGGTGCACTAAGACAGCTTTGAACTAGGGAAGAGATGTACCTGCACATCTGCAAAAGAGCCAGTCGTGTACCTGGGAGGATAGGAAAAGACACTATATTACCAGAAGGTAAAACAATAATTGTAGGACATCTGCTTAGTTGTCAAGGACCAAGAGGGAAATAAAGCTGTTGTCCCCTCTAGCTAAAACCTGCTGTTTCTTTTTCCCCAGACTCCCAACCACCAACTGCTCTACAGTTTGTATGCCAATCCAATTTTGACGCCTGTAATTCACCCCAGAGACTGTTTATTTTAACTTTATCAAGTGAAGAGAAAAACAACTGTGTTAGAATAAAAAAAGAGCATCTGGCAGCGGGATATTCTTTCTCTCAGACAGCTTCCCAGCCTAACTGGTATACAAGAAAATGGGATTTTAGTTAGTCAAGGGTTGAAAGAAGGGGGGGAAAAGAGTGCAGAGTGCAGGTTCTCTGTGTGCTTATCTTAAAAATGATCTTTCGTGGTCTGTTGGAACAAATGCTCTCACTATATTGAGCTCCACCTCAAAAGAAGCAGCCAAGCCTCATCTGGGCCCTACAGGACACAGCAGTGATGAATCCACACACGGGACACTGTCTAATGTAGCCTATGCCAAAAAAGTGACCTCTGGAACTCCACCAGCTCATTAATGTAACCCCAGGAGCCCCTGGCCTGTGTGGGGCAGAGCAGCATGGCTTTCTGACAGTCAACAGAAACCAAGGGGCACTCAGGAAAACAGACATGTCCGTTCCTTTTTCCAGATTTTGAGTATCAGCCACCTTTCCCCCCATCTTCAGCAGCACAGCAACTTTGAGCAATGCCAGCACGTGCCACAGAGTTTGCCACCTGCAATGTGTCCTCAGCGAGAGCTTGTAAACCAGAGGATCTCTTGTTTCCCGATCCCTAACATAAGCTGATTCTTTCATACTTCATGACAGGACTTTCCTGTTCACTGGCCACACTTGGCTCTGCAGCTCCTCCAGTCTGAACACGGCTGGTGTGTTTTTTCTGCAAGACTGGCACAATCAAGAAAGAGGCTGGGGTTTGGTTTTCTTCCCTGTGGCTTTTTTTGTTCTCTCCCATTGGCAAGCATTTTTGAACATTAGAGGAAAAAGCAGACATTGCACAATAGCTTTGCCCACCCACCCTATTTTTGTTTGCATACTTTGGTCTGAATAACACACTGATGGAGAATACTCATTTTTAAATAATTAGGAGGGACGCTGCAGACATGTAGATTTGGTCTGGACACATGGGACCCTAGTTTCATTTTTAGGCTATCTGCCAGTTGGGTGCTGTTCAGAGGGAGTCTGCAAGATGTCTGACTCGCTTCTGATGTAAGAGCCATCGTTCCTCTTGGAATGAAATGCAGGCCTGCTCCTCTCAGCAATGCCACCTACTCTAACGATGTCGTGTTCTGAGCATTAAGTACCTCAAGAAGGAAGACACTTTACTCGGTAAAATACTTGGAGAAAGTTCCCTTTAGGCAAGAAGCCAATGCACTACTTCTGTTCTTGTGTTGCTCTGGAAGAGAGAGGGCTTCATGTAATTAACATTTAATGTTTGGAACAATAACATTTTACTTTTCTTTTTTATCAACAAGATTTTTAATTTCAGGCATTTACACATCTAGAAAGCAAATTAGATATAAGGTACACTTTAGAAAAATCTCACTACATGTCTGCCTTGCTTTAAAATGCATCCTTTCTTGAGATGTTGCCACAAGTTCCTTTCTCTACAGATACATTAGAGCCTTCCTCTTAACAGGTCAGTAAGCTGGAGGAAAAGTTAAAGCGGGGGTTGGATGTAGTTTACCCAGAAAATAATAAATTAATTTTACTGACCTCCTTGACATACAGCAGGACTTCCGTAATTTTGGAAAGGGGCATTTATCCTTTTTCTTTCACCGTATAACTATTAGATGAACAGCACAGCAATTTTAGGTACGTTTCCATTTTCTCATGCAATTATAGGTTCTTTGTAAGATCTAAACATAAAAGTTTGGGATTTTTCTCCCTTTTTGTCCTTCACCATCCTTTCATTTTCTTTGAAAGTCTCAAAGCTTTTTACAAAACCCATTAGACAAGTCTTACAACCCAGTAAACACAGTGTTACTTCCATTTTAAATATTGAGACAAGCGGAGCAATATGGTAAAACAAAGGCAAAGGAAGGAATAACAAGACAGCCCAGGTTTACACAGGAAAGCACAGTCAGAGCCCGGACGAGTGTCTCGTAGGTTCCCTCTTGACAAACGATCACGGAGGCACATCAGGGCAGCTGATGAGCAGATGGAGCAATGGCGTTAGGCAGCTCGTTTAGTGGTACAGGACAGACCAGCATCAACCGCTTAGTATAAACTAAACGTAAATCGAGGTTTGTCTGTGCAGGCTTTGCCACCCCTTGTTTCGGCCTGGAGCTGCACCAGCACTCGCTCCCCAGGGCTCAGTCACCTCCAGCTCCAAACCTGGGACGAACCCTGCCCTCTCCCACCCGCCACGATCACCTGCGGGTCTGCGCCGAACTCCGCACGTTTAACACCCAAGAGTCGACCGTGCCCTGCGCACGCCATTAGCTGCTGCTACCAGGCTCGGTCTGCTGCCTCACGCCTGTGAGAAGCCCTCCTCCTCCTCAGAGGATTCTGTTCTCAGTTGCCAACTACCAGACCGCCAACAGGCCCCAGGTGCCAAGGGGCGGACGCGGACACAAACACGGGGCAGAACCGAAGCCAGGCACATCCCCCCGCGCAGGGGCGGCCCGATCCCCAGCCCCGGGTCCTCCCCAGCGCCCCGGTAACCCCGGCGAGCCCCTCCCG